GGGGAGCTCGATCCTGGGCTCCCTCTGCATCAACAGCAAGCAGGTTCCCACAGATGGGAGCCCCCTTTGCTCAGCCAGGACCAAAAGTCCCACACTGGACATGGCTCTTGGTCACAGCTGCACCACACATCTCTCAGTGTAGCGCAGCCAGGACCAAGAGCACTACCCAATGCAGAACTCTCAGTCTCAGCTGCACATGGGCCTGGGGGTTTCACGCACCCCTGAGCTTTGGGGGTCGCAGCTGCCATGATCACCAGGGCCCAGGGGTTTCATGCAGCCCCGCCTGCCATAATCCCCCCTCGGGGTTTTATACTGGGTATGGTGTACCTCTGCAGCTGGGAGCCCAATCAGCTGATAGGGCTCCCAGCCATAGGGTAGACCCTGCTAGACATGCAAATAATATATCAACTATAAAGTTAGTACACATTTTCAAGGTCTAACTTGGAGCTTTTTATTGCGTGATACATACTTTGCACATGTAGCTGGTCCTAAGGTAATTGAACAATTAACCAGTTAATTGTGCAATACCTGTAACGTGTAGAGGGAGCCTAAATGTTCATTGCAGCAAAAACTTCAGAGGAACAGCTTTCAGTTTTTTTCAGATAGTAAAGTGATAGGATCCGACTGCAATCTCTGTTAAACTAATGTAAATCTAAAATAACTCTAAAAGACTTCAGCAGAAGTATTACAGATTAGAAATATTGTAACAGAGTGAAACTGAATCAACAGAACACATACCAGGGGGACAAAAATCTGTTCAACTCTAAACTGTTCTTTTTTTAATTTTCAAAGTACAGGCAGTCCTCAACTTAAGACATTTCGAGTTACAATGAACGGCACTTACGACGTTTATAAATCAACACCATTTCAACTTTCTGACATCAGTTTCAACTTTATGATGCTTGATCCGATGCAATGCCATGCCAGTGAACAAGTCTGCTGAGTTGCCCATCTCCCTGGAGAACATCTGTCCAAACTTCCTTGGACACTTTCTTTATGAAAGTAGACAAGACTCCAGAAAAACCTGCAGCCAAGTCTCCTGAGAAGACTCCAGGCAAAAGAGCCCTTCAAAAAGTCCAACCAAGAGCCCTTCAAAAAGTCCAGCAAACTCACCTCAAAGAAGTCCTTCCAAATCAATATGATTGCTATTTACAATAGAAATACATTAATGTAGCTATATTACTCATCTATAATTGATTGTGTATAAAATTCTGGGTTATTTTTGGTGAAAATAGGGTATCAGGCCTTGGTTCAGGAACCAATCCCCCATTTATAATATTGTTCCTATGGGAAAATTGGTTCCAAGTTACGGCGTTTCAACTTAAGACATGGTTTTCAGGAACCAATTGTGTCATAAGTCCAAGGACAGCCTGTACTACTGGCTAAAGTCTGTGCTAACATAAAACTTTTGTAAGTATCTTCTATCACCTGTATAAATCAAATTATTTCCATAGAAATATGTACAATATAAATTAATGCAAAATTTGGTCCTTGTGTTCAAAAACTGCCCAAAAAGGTTATGGGTTAAATCAGTGGTGCTCAACCTTTTCCCCCAGTAGGCCGGATGGACAGTGCCAGGTCTGTCCATGGGCCAGATCCAGCCGCTGGTCCTGATCCAGTGCACAGGAAAGGTTCAGTGCGTACCATCTGGTCACATGGAGGAGGAAGGGGAGCATTCCAGCCCCAACCTGGCCCCACAGGGAAAAGGGTGCATAGCTTGGCCCTGTGGGGGAAAGGAGGCAAGACCCATCCCCAATCCAGATGCTGAGGAACAGGCATGGTCCAACCCTACTGGGGGAAGGGTGTACAGTCCAGCTCTGAACAGCCATGCGGGGCATGGGGTTTGGGTATTTGGCAGAGTGGGGAGGGTAGCCATATTAATAGCTACTGCTCCCCTGACGCTAAATTTCCTGACCCAGGGGGAGCCCCGAGTTCTGGATTCCAAGACTTGGAGGTTAACTCAGCACCCCTGAGTTAAATTACTCACTTAATTATGCTGCTATAAATATAAAATAACTACTGATTTCATTGTTGGTGTTAATAGTATGAATTGGCATAAAATCTGATTGTGAATTATCAGCTGTCAACAAAAAGACCAATAATGCCTGGTGCCTATTACACTATGGTGAAGCTAATTGGAGGAGATAAAAAGAGCTTGGTTTATTTAGTCTAACACAGGAATGTCAAACATTTAGCTCACAGAACTGTTCCATCTGGCTCACCAGTAGTCCATTGAGCTACTAGAAGTTGGGGGACGTGTCCTGCCACAGAATTTGGAGTCCCTAGACCCCAATGGACATGGCCATCAGCAGCAGTCCCATGCATCTGCACTGCTGCCCAAACACAGCCCCACACTGCTGCACATCCCCAGACTCATGCTGCTGCCCTTGGATGTGTGCTGTCACCTGAAGCACATGGCTTCACACATGTCACTGGGTTCATGCTGCTACCCAAATGCAGTTCCATGCCACTGCATACTCTCAGATGCGTGCTGCCATCAGACTGGGGCTCTAGACTGCCACGCAAATGCGGATCTGTGCTGCCGCCCAAGCATGGCTCCATACTGCCACCCAGCCCTGGACCCACTGCAGTTGCTGCTGGACCCATGGAACCAGCCTCAGGGGAGCCCCATAGCCCAGATCTGGCTCAGGCCCCAGGGTGCATTTGACACCCCTGGTCTAACACAATTCATATTGAGAAGTGATATGATTATTCTGTATAAATACATTTGGGAAGAAAATAGCAGGGATGGAGAAAAACTATTTATATAAAAAGATAATGCTGGCACAAGATCAAAAGAACATAAATTGGTCATGAATAAATTTAGTCTGGAAATCAGAAGGTTGCTAACCACCAGAGGTTTTCAATGACTTAAACCAAGTAGTACAGACAAGAACCTGGACTGTTTCAAAAGGGAGTCTGATTCATGAAGGAAATAATAGGATAAGATAAGAATGGTCTTAGAGTTAAAAATTAAAGCTTGAGGTAGAAGGCTCCACATGTTGAATTTGTTAGCATCCCCAAAAGAGAGTAGAAGAGACTTGACTGCTGCATGGGTTGCTTCTATTCGAGGGAGGTATTTCACTTTGAGCTCTTTAACTTTGCTGATGGTGCAGGTAGGGCCTGATGGCAGATACTGAAGCTAAATAAAGTTCAAGGTGAGATATGGGTTCCTCATGGCACGAGGAGGTAGAGTACTGGAGGAGTTTTTGGCATGGAGGTGAAAGGTTTTCAATATTCCACAGTTCTTGAGGCAAGTCTGATGTCTTTTTGAGGATATGCTTTAGTTTACATTACAGCACAGGTGGATCTAGGAGTTGGAGATGAGGGGTGCAGTCACACCCCCTTTGATTATAGCTTTGTAGCACATGCACAGTGAGTTCTCTGAGCTTGTTAGCTTCTGGGTGCAGCTCAGATCTGTGCAAAGCTGTTTTTTGGCACAGGTCTGCAACCCAGGGGGTGAATGGTGCTGCAACTCCCCTGTACTATGTCCTTTTCTATCCTTGGTATCAGAGGAAAAGTGAGCAGCAGCAGCATTCTGTGTACAGCTGAAGGGGGATGAGGCTGCACCCACCCTAGCCCCTCTGGATCTGCCCCTGAATTAGAGGAAATTTCATAAAAAATATCTATGCAAGTAAAGGAAAGTCAGGCTTGGTAGTTGTGATGGTCACTTTTAGACTAGGTTTCCTTCTCTTTTTTAATACTACTTCTTGATTTTTCAATATGCTTTTAATATGTGTTACATTGTATTTATACTGCACTTAATTATACAAGATTTAATAAAGTAAATCTATGCTCCAGAGGTTCTGCAGTTCACCAGGACCAGGAATAAATTTTCTGCTCCACAAATGCATAATTTGGCTTCTGGATAGGGATTTACCTACTAGTGAAGCATCAGAAAATGGCCATATCCTGGATAAATCATGGATAAATCAATCACTAGATTTGGGGTCATGAAGGAATTTCCTACAGGTCAGTGTACAGCTGGATTCACTTCCTCAGGACTCTTGGGCACATTTTACATGACAAATTCCCTGACATAGCAGGGGCCAAGGCATTAGTGCTGTTGTCTTTGGATCACTGTAGTTTTGGCTTTTTTGTAGTAAATGTCTGAAGTTTGTTATAGGTTGTTAGTAGGTGCTTTGTAGCTTGTGGTGTGAGGAGAGAGGGAAGTACGGTGAATTTTCTTATAGACCATTTTAGACTTACTGTCTGTGACAGGGGGCAAGCCTAGGGCCGTCTCTCAAGTCGGCCTGCCCACCTATCTATGGGGCAGTCCAACCAGTCTCACCTGCCATGACTTTGTGCTTCTCTTAACTGGTGGTATAATGAGGGAGGCTGCCCATTACCTGCCCCAATGACAGGGGCACTATCCACAGTCCTTCCCTACACTGCAGCCCATGCCTCACAGATGGCATCCAGGATGACATTATGCTCCCAGCCTAAAACCGGGACAACTTAGTCCTTCATCAGGCCTCATTCATAT